GTTCAGATTCTTTTGCGTGTTTTTCTGGGTGCATCTACTTTACCTGGGCCAATGAAAACACAACCTTGGCAACATGCTGTGAGCAAAGAAGTGGAAAGTGTGCAGAGGCATTCCACAAGAGCAGCTCCCCAATCCAACGACTCAATGTCTTTCTAAGCAAAAGATCTTTTGTGTAACTCGGTAAACTGGGGAAGGCGTTAGACTGAGCAAGTGTGTGAAAGCAGTAAAGCTATCAGATGTCACATGAAAATCGATTGGTTTCCAGCAAGCGCGTTTGAACGTTGGCTAACTTGAGTTGTGTTCCATGCGCCAGTTGTAATTTCTTCATGTTCTGGTAAACATTGTAAGCAATGTCAGTTATCATTCAGCTACTAAAAATGGGATACGATACTCACCTGGGGTGAGCGAAACGAACGGACCGAGTGGTTTGATGAGCTTACCACCACAATTTCACGGCGATCTATCCTTTTCGATGAGGTTTCTACCTCAACAGGTTTCAGGATGCGTTTATCTCAAATTTTGGATAGATATATCACCTTGGTGAGATAAGAGCATAGCGCAGAAAAAGTGGCCTGGGCAATTACAGCCGAATTGTGCTTTGTTTATTGCATTGTGTCTGCTCCCTAAAGGCCTTGAATAGTCTAACGAGTATGCATCCCTGTACACCAGTGTGCCCACCTTGGTGGAGGCGTTTAGGAGACATCACGGATGTCTATCTGGCTATCTAGCGATTCCTTCACGCTCAGCATTACAAATAAAGCACAGTGAAATATTGTTTCATCGTAGAGCTGCAGTAGTTCCGCATCCGGCGTATCCGTTCTGCTTTCGAGGGAGTCCCGTCGTTCGGGAGCAATTCACCTCAGCCACCGGGATATGGATGATTAAATTTTTTTACTTTGAGTCATAGCATGCTGAGTGAAATTGATTTGTCAGACTAACATGAAGTCGAGTTTCAGCTGTAAGCAGAAATTTGCTCCGAAGGTGCTCCAAAGTCAATTTATGCTCTGCAGAGGCCGGTAAGTAATCGGACGTGACTGTGATGATGGGCCTTTGTCCCCCCTAAATGCAAATATTTCCATGCGCAGAGGAGTACTCACTGCATCCGAATTGCTAGCAGCAGATAGTTGAAACTGAAAGGAATCAATGTACTTCTTCATAGCCTGTTCCCCGACACGTTTACTACTTCGCTCACCTCAGGGGTGAACGGTGCAGCCTATACTTCGTTTGACCATTTGCGAGTGACTTCATATGCGCAGCCCACCGGCGGAAATGCACTGATTTCGGACCATTACCAGTGCTATCATATGCTGAATGAAGTGAACATTCTGTCCGAGTCTCCATACTGGCCAGACACGGTTTAGCTGATCTGGAATCCCAACCGGATGTGTCATAATTGCAGTGTGACCAAGCACAAACTGGGGTTGCTTATCATTCGAATTCCTGCACAGTGCTGTATGTATCCGGCAACGTATCTCGTCTCAGTGGCCTCCACTAATGGTCGGCTACCAGCTGCGTCCCCACTGTTCCTTCATTGCTTTTAGTCCCACGATTAGCCTCAGCGTTGAATTGTATCTGGCCGATATAGTAGACAGAAGATAAGTATCGGTCACTAAGCCCCGAGTGACCTATGCCGTCTGTCGTTCGAACGTCGCACGGTTTACAGGGGGTTACCTGAGGCTATCTTCTGTCCACTATTCCCCGGAAGTAGTTTCCACGTCGTAGATGCCATTGTTTGTTTTAACTTGTCACTGCTTGGGAGCGCAGACTGTCCCATGTGACGGACAAACCGTTCATGTGATCGGTGTCGTGGGTGGGTGGACTGAGTGGGAAAGTGCGAGCGACTGGGGCCCAGCTGCGCGCTTCGTGGCCGACCTCATTCACAAGCTTTGAGGGTGGGGTGGCAGAGGAAACGTTTCCGTTCCAAAGTTTGCTAGTAAGCGAAGGGAGAGAGGCACAATGCCTCGGGGTAAACATTGCCCGTAGATATTTAGGCTACGGTCACGAAAATGTTGACTGTAATTCCACTTTGCGAAGATAACTGGAGTAAACGAGTTCTTGTGGTGCACGTGCTAGTTGTATTAGTTTTTATATCAAGAACCAAGTGCCCCAGATTTGGAAAAGCCATTGGCTTCACCCTGCATCCTAGATACAGTTGTGTTCACAGCTCGGACTGCTTCCACCCAGCAAGTTGTTAACCGTTGTTTGTACGCCAAAGTATGGGAAAGAGGAAATAACGTTTTGTGCACTCCGGGGCACGCAGTTAATCCCGTCACAGCGGACGATCTAGCCAAACTGTATGCCACGTCAGCTATTATGTAAGACTTGGCACTGTTGTGTAGAGCTCTTACGAGGCTGCGAAGTGCAAACATCAACCAGAGCTCTGAAGGGCGTGAACAGACTAAACCAATAAGAACAGAGCTAACGACGAACAAATAAGATGCACACGCCGAAAGGATGAAATAACGGTAATCAGAGGGGAAATGGAATCTGCACTCAGAAACAATGACTATAAACAGCAAACCGATGCGTTAAAAAAACGTTAATGAATGGACACAACCAAACAATGGAACAATGGTGTTATACGGATAAAAAGCAAATGCTTAACAGGTCCCGTAGGTTGGTCATGAGGAAACTTTAAAATATAACTTTTTTAAAGCAAAATTGGGTTTACATATCTAGGATATATGTAGACATGCACTAGTTGGAATAAAATCAGTGGATACTTTTCTAGGCGCTGGAGTACCAACAGTGTGACTGGATTGCGACACAACCTCAAGTGGTGCCACAATTGATTTTTTAAGTAAGCCTCCATCATCGGGATCATTGATACATCGACGAATGTGTGAGCTTCGGAGTTCCTATCCCCCAGCACTGCACTGTGTAACTGATTTCGTTATTGTTTCGCCTCTTTAGGTCGAGACCACCATCTGGTAATGGAACCCGGCACATAGTGATTGACGGCCGGTTACCCCATTACTAGGCCACGGAGCTCCGCGACCAACGGTTGACGCAGTAGTCGGAAGCGCATTGCTAGGTTCTGGAGTACCCGCCACTTACTTGTCGTTTGTTGGGTGATGCGACAGAGAGTTTGGCGCTATGCGCTTTGAGTTAAAAGATCCCACGCTCAGGTGAGAACGAAATACATCAATGATTTTAAACAACCAACAGCTAAACTTTCTGCGAGTTCCCCTTTTTCAACAAGTCCGGGAGCTGTTGTTGGTAGCGTAATCTCAGAGAATCAATATCTAATGCATACACTTAGCGGCTAGCAGCTGTATACGTTGCCCCGGACAGTAGTAAGAATTGTGGCTCTCACTGCCCGTTAACAGACTGGAACCCGGAAAATTGTGGGAGGCTATCAAATTGCTTATTTTCCATGAAAATGCTACCAAATATACTATTTTTGACAGCTTCTATCAGCCCTGGACTTTCATCCGTTCTCAATACTTTTAGATCTACGACGGTCTGTAGCAATCAAAAAGTAAAGTTCGTTTGTGGAATCATGCATGCACAGTAGTCAGCTGATGGGTTGGTCAATACTAGTCGTTGCCTTTACTGTTTGGCCTTACCGATTTGAAGTCACGAATTTGGGCAGGTCTTTGTGTATCTGCATGGAGGAGGGTGGTTACGCGGTACGCAGCCAAATAAACAATGGAATTAGTGATACAGTGGTGACTACTGCGAGTGAAACCTACTACAAGATCTGTTTCTCGAAACATATCTTGTTATTTTGATCAGTGACCCGGTTTAATATCGGAACTGTCGAGTTCCGGCTTAGAAACTCTCTCTTTGACGAAATCAAGTACGGTAGTATAAAATGTGCCAGTTGTAGGAACGCACGTTACGTGTTTCATCGGATTTTGAGAGCAAACTTAGTGAACTTTATGGACGGCTTCTGGAGGTCCGCCTGATGTAAGATGGTCGGGATTAAAAAATGGGACCACCGGAGAGTTTACTGGAGGGCGCCTACTCCGGAATTGAGGAAGTATAGAAGCATCAAGCCTAGGAGAAAAAGTGAGAGAGCGCATGTGTCGGAGCTGGGATTGCGTGTGTCCTACAAGCTCAGGAGTAGCAAATGATAAGTGCAAGCGTATTTCAACTGAGTAGCTTTAAAGCAATCTGAACAGGTTAATGAGCAATGCTTTATGGAAATATGGTAGACTGTGTACCAATAAAAATTTACTTCTAATTGAGTGAGCTAAACATGCGGATTGGAAACAGAAAGAAGAAACAGAAAAGTCAAGGAGATCCTAAGTTGACTCATAAGTAGTTTTGTCGGATATAACACAAGCGGGATGAAAACAGGATAGCCAGTTTGGTGTTGGGTCGTGAGGTAAAGAATGTTTCAGGATCTAAGAGAATAAAAGGCTCCAACGAAAATCACAATCATGTAGAAGTTACATTCGAGTCACAAAATGCTTTCCGCCCGATGCCTGCGGCTAGCATGATGTAGTCAGAACCCAAGTAGTGCTTGTCACGTTTTGCATCCAATCAACTTAGAAGCTGAAGCCTAGCACACAAAAGGTGAGCACGACAGGGGCGTGGATTCGAAGTCTGTTTAGTTTTCGTTAAAGTAAGCAAAAATGCACAATAATTGGTGAGTTCGGAGTTGTTAAGTAGAAATCTTAGACATGGGTTTTAACAACCGCTAAAGGCATTTTGTGACTTGTCTCTGACCGACCAGTCCAGTCAGTGCAATTAGGTTTGACTTCAACTACACTCAGGTATCCATAGTATTTGGTGTCCGCTAAGTTTATTTATCGATGGAGAGTATATTGGATTTACACTAATCTCACTTCAGTCTCAGTGCACTGGTAGACCGTAAGTATCTATCCCAAAAGGGCTACTAGAAGTGAAACAGCAGTGGCGGTTGAACTGTTCACCAGTCGTGTTGATATCATCAACGTGTTATTGTATAGCGTGTAGCAGCGTAGCGTGGGGAAAACTCAGTGAGAGTGCACAAGCGCTGAGATGTGCCTTGGGAGCTTCCAATTGATCAGGTGATCATGGGTCGATAAACAGCTTTCAAAAGCGCTAGTTGCATAGCAGACTTCGCTTGTGCTGATGAAATGGAGACTGAAACAGGGTAATTTCCCCGTTATGAGCAAAGATAATGTTTAACTTGTGTTATAGGAAGCTTGGTAATTATGACATATCCTATAGGAGTTTAACCTGGACTAGAATTTGAACAGTTTGATGCTTTGCAGAGCAGTGGGCTACTAGACTCACTGTACGATTCCATAACTCTGAAACAAAAAGTCACGGCACAGTATAAAAAGTAAGTTTGTTAGCAGTCTGCGAAAAATGTGTAAAGAAATGTTTTTAATGGATCTAAACGAGTGAAAGGTTACATGTGATATGCTAGTCTAGTTGTTGTACTACGCTCTCATAGTATTAATGAAATAGCAATTGCTCCTCAGTCGTCTACATTAAAACCATCCGTTCTCCCAATTTCTTAGGCAGATTTATTTCTCACTGTAGTAGTCTTATCGATGTCTTAAAGAGAGCAAGAGAGTAAGGGGTATGGTCAAGCTTTTGCTAGAACTAAAGTTAAATTTAAGTGGTAAAATGCTGACATTATTACAACTGACCAATAAGTTTACTAACATTTCCCTGGAACCTATTTACATGTACAGTAACAAGCTGCATATCATGGCAACATAAGATTATATACGGATAAAGTTGTTTGATGCTGAAATGAATCTAGACTCAGTGAATACTCCGGTATCCAGTGCAGCGTCGGGGAACTGTTATCAGGCAGGTACAACATAAAACAAGATGCTAATTTGTTTGGGAAATTTTGCTAACTCAAACATTGTTAACTTCAATGAAGCGTTGCAGGAATATTGGTGTACGGATTGCACCAAAAGTCATTTTGGCTGGCCCGGTTGGTGGCTATCAAAGTATTCGTTTGTGAATCCACTAGGTTTAGCATCTGTTATAACCGGGTTTACAAGGGGTTATGGCTAGAACTCGTCCATTTCTTGACCTTGCTGAAGACATAGATCATTCCGAATAAGTTGCACTCAATCCAAAACTAAACGTCGGCGTAAAAGTATGACTTATTTTCGTAGAAAAAGTTCAGGTATAGGTAAAGTGAAAACGCAATCTTTTGCCCAAAGGATCATCAGCAAACGGGTTATCAGTGGTGCCCGCCCACTGCACCGAAGCTGTAACGGAAAGGCTCTACCAAGTTGCAATCCAGTTTTGTTTATTACCTATGTGGTTTTGCCTGTCAGTGGTATGAAATAGACCATACTGATAAGGTGTAAGAGGTATACTACTACAATTGCTTAATCACCGTATCTGCTCCTCATAGATTAAATCCTGTGATAAAAGGAAGAATTCGCGCATTGAAGCATATACTGCACGAAACCTTGAAGCTGGAAGCTGAATTTTACAAGGAGATAGCTAAACTTGAACGCCGGTTTCTGGAAAGGCACGAGAAGCTATTCACAAAGGTACGGTAGGTTTTATTCTATACACTAGTGAAACCTGTGGATGATGTGACACTATTCGCACTAGAAAATAAAGGCTAAGGGGTGTTCAACTCTGACGCTCACTGTCGTATTTATGATCAAAGATAGGTAATACGCTCAACTTCATCAACTAGAGACCATCCAGATGAGCCACACTTCCATAGTCATCGTCGCGCATTCACCAAAGGGCGAGACCCGTTCAGATACCAACTGTTCAAGCTTTGCTCGACTTGAACAAACCGGTGGGACGTCACTTCTATGAAATGACTAACAGACTATAACAGTTGTAATGCTGTTTGTTTTTATGATAGGTTTTTCAATTTTGATAACAAGTTGCACGAAGCTTGTTAATATACAAGTGAATCTTTTATAATTCAGAACACTATGTAGTCGATTCATAAGCCCGCATCGATTATTTGTGTAAATCGTCGAAACTAAAATCTGTATTAAACCAGACAATTAATACTGATTACATCCACTGACCCTTCTTTAAATCCAAGCGACGGGCGATCGTGATCGGGGAGTACGAGCCCAAGGGAGAGGAGACCGTATGGTTAACCAGTGAGGATGAAGATGGAACCTGCGACAGTCCCATGGTGTATCATAAATCTGGCAATGAAGGTGACGCCCCTCAGCGGCTGAAGCCAGGTAAGCTCTTCGGATATAAAATGTAGTTGCGCGCAGAGGTGGTTACATGTCAGTAATGGTTGCTGAAGGCATACTGTTTTTCCTTTCTATCCTAACAGTCTCCCTGGCTTCACACGGTCGCTATTTCAACATCGTTCAGTGCCTACTGCATTATGGATAGCCCGATGCAAGTTAATTTCACCAGTGAGCAAAATAGAATTATCACAACAAGGATCAAAAAGCGGATAAGAACTAATCATAGATTTGACGAATATACCTATGGCAATATGAAAGAGTGACTGGACTGATGGCGTTGAGAACTCTGGGTCTGCATTGTCGAAGGTTGTCTAATAAGTAAGATAGTTGGGTCAGGCAAGAACGAAGTAGGGCAGTGCGTCAAAAGTGGTAGTTCTTTTAGAGTCGTTTGAAAAGTTAAAACTTCAGAAAACGTAGCTTGGCTCAGCGTGAAAAAGCGATTAAGAACTGAAAATGGTGTTGGAGAACAAGCCTAGAGAAAATATCTACTAGGTTATGTATCTGGCAACCCTGAGGCACATGAGCTTCCATAGGCTGAACGCCATTAATAAGCAGGACAGATAGCTTATAAGAGATAACCGTCGTACGGTACCACTGTGAAGCCAGACGTCGTGCCTTAGGTAATGCGAGCATTCCCTTCAAAAAGCTGGTTTTACTGATCCAGTTAAGATGGTTCGGTCACGTTCTGTGTACGTCAACTGAACGTTTACTCCATTGCGTTCTGCTTGCACTTGCAGGACTCGGCTGAAAGAGATCACATGGTGGTCAACCACCCATTTGGCGACAGCATGTGAAATTATTGACTTCACGTCTTGTTGCCGTTGGATCCATACGCTTGCCTAGTTTGAGACCTAAGGATGAAGACTGCCGATGGATGGAATCAATCCAGAATATGGCTCGCAAACAAAACCAGTGAAACTTTTGTGTACATACCTGAAGCATTGATCTATGACGGGTATAAAAGCAAATGCCTAACATATCTTGGCGGGTAGTTATGGTGAAAAGTATAAAATCAAAATATAGTATCAGAACAAGGACGTGTGATACATAACTCACCAAGAGGTTTGGAGAAGCACATGTGCGAGTAGCTTTGCGTGGCTTTTAAGGGGCTTGTGACACAGTCCACTGCTTGCCGTGCACTAATGACATCATCAGATGGCAGGGGGCTATATCACGTAATGTATAGGTGTAAGGGTTAAGCCAAATTGCTTTTGAAAGGAGCAAAGGAGGAGGCATTTATTACATGTGTCGGAAGAGCGCTTCAGGTCGGTGACCCTCGGAGAGAGAAAAGGTTTCGTCTACATTCCAGTCAACTGCACTGCTTGGCCAATTTAAACTGATTACCCCTCAGAGATGTTTCTTTGAATGACTTTCCAATGGGAGTGGCATGTGTGATTGAGGTTTTTCTGCATCTGGCACACCATTATGAGATCACTCCGTAGCCGGCGATGATGTCCGCTGTATATTTTGAGGGTTTTCAGCCTGATTCGGTAAGGAAAACGGCACAAACTGACGTGTTTTGTCAAGGTACCCTTGCCTATGCTCACTGCGCTGTCGACCCAGCCGCGGAACAAACGAAACACCCTGGTCTGCTAAACCGAAGTGTATTAAGAACCGAGCATGTTTAGTTTTACAAGTTACGTGCTATCATCTCCGGCTGCCCGTTTCTGGGCTGACTCACGTCACTTGTCTGGAAAGATTCCAAACCGGTTAGTGGTCCGTACTAGCCATCTGTAGCCGCACTCACTCACGTCTGCTGGGTAACAACTTATGTCATAATGATTGACTGATTTCATCAGCTTTCCGCGTGGCTCGCCACAGACCCACTTTACGTCTTCAAACCGGGTCATGTCCTTAGGCTGCGCCTTCCGAATACTTTCTTTGTCGTCCTGCGTTGTGCAATAACGAGGGCGTTGATGAGGTGCTTCTGACAGGGTTGCCAGGCTTGGATAACGCATCCCACATTCAGCCACACGTACGCGCCAAGCATTTTCGGAAAGACTGAGGCGTCGAAGTTCCCAAACGCTCCACGAAGAAGGCTAAACTACTGGTTCACTTTCTTTGTTGCCTATTAAGTCTGTCCCAAACAACCAAAGTCATCTTGCAAGAGCGTACCAAGTTCTCACGCATGCGAACGCCGCTGTAGAATTTGTGGCCCTAGCCGGTAGTGGTGAGTATTCTGATAGCGTATGCTCAGAATTTTGCACTTGGTGGCTTTGAACTGAATCAATTTCTCCATGGACCATGTGTGGACTTTATCCATGTCATCTTGTAGTGCTGTGTGATCTTTCACTGTAGCAATTGCAACTCCTATCTTTATATCATCGGCAAATCGTAGGTAGTTTGAAGCTAGCACGCTCGCGAGATCCCTTATATGAAGACCTGAAACGAGCGGGGCCCGAGTACCGAGTCCTGGTACAAGTCGCATTGAACTTCAATTGGTTCCGATATGGTGCTGCGAACTTTCACATTCAGGTGACTGAAAGAGAAATTCGCCCATCCAGCTCAGAAGTTGATCGCCGACTCCATCCTTCGGGAAGTTGGGCGAACCTTTTGCAACAGAAAGCGATGGTCCAGACGGTCGTATGCCTTTGTGAAATCCAGATAGGCTGCATCTATTCCTACACCAACATCAACAGATTCTGCCCAGTGTGTTAAAGCTATCAGTAGGTTAGTAGAACAGGACCGATTTTGGTGAAATCCGTGCTGCTCCGCAACAAGAATTTTGTTACTCACCAGGTGCCCCATAGGCACCTCAGCTACAGGGGACTCCGTGATATTGGAGATAACTGGCAGAAGTGTTATCGTGCGATAATTTGCTAGTGCTGCACGGCTACCAGTTTTGTAGATTGGAGTGAGGATCCTGCGCTTCCACAACATGGGAACATTCATCTATTAATTTATCGTTGAAAAAGTATTGCGATGGGTTCAGCCAAACCCATGGCTGCAACTTGCAACGCCTTCGGGCGCGTGTAGTCTGCGCCCTGGGAGGTGTACTCGAGCAAGGATATAAGCCGTTTTAGTAAAGCTGTTGTTATTTTGCCCCGCATGATGTGTGCATAGCAGGTATTCCGCGCTTAACCTTGCGAAGTCTGTTTAACTGTCTGTATAGCTGCTTGGAGTTAGAGCAAAATCTTACCACAAGGTCTTGTTAAGGACTGCCAGTGGCCTGATACGAGTAAAGACATGACACGCAACCGGAAGCAGTGGGAAAATTGTGTAAAGAATTGCATTGATTCACATGTATAACGCCGCGAACATTGAAGATGTTAAAATTAAACGCCGGCGAGTGAAAAAACAAAAATGTTTCGTTCCATTTTTGCGCAAACTATGCTCCCATTTAATTTCCATGCTTTTTTCAATGACTCAAAGTCGGTTTCTCAGATTGTTGATTATACATCGTACGTCAGCGTGACATGGGTGAAGTGCACAAGACACGTGTACTGCGTGGAGCTGATTGTGCTACTGATCACAAATTGGTGCGGAAAAGTACATAAAGGGGGCATGCCATGAAGCAGGAGCGTAAATTTAACATTCCATCCCTCGGTACTGTGGCGAAACGGATTGATCTGACGAAGGTGATGGCTGCACGTCTGTGTGATATGGACTCCATAGCCACAGTTGCGATCTATGGTACCACATTTGTGACTAGGTGACAGCAGCTGCAGATGCGACCATTGGGCGCAAACTGCAAGCGGCCCGATTGGTTTGATGAGAACAATACGACGATTGGCGCATTAGTGTTGGAGAAGAATGCAGCGTTTGCTGCATATGTGGTAGACCCCAGTGTTTTGGGGAAGAGTAGTCAGTTTCGCAATTTGCGACGGCGAGTGATCCGAGAGCTCTGTCGCCTTAGAAATACATGGTGGACGGAGTAGGCGAGGCAGATGGAATGCTACGCCGAAGGCCGTCAACACAAGAAATTCTTTGACTCCTGGAAGGCGGCGTATGGACCAAGGTTAGAGACGCTGTGCACGCTGGTCGATGCTACTTCAGGCTTTGCCATGACACAGACTGAATCGATAACGTAGATCTAGCAGTAATAGTTTGATTTTCTCTTGCAAAATCGTTCAGAGATCGACTGACCTGCATTGAAGTGCCTCAAGCATCACGACATGGAATCGAGTATGTCGAACACGCCGACTTTGGATGAGACGCAGAGAGCACGTGCTCAGCTGCGAAACGACAAATGTACCGGGGCCAACGGGATCCCACCTGAACTCTTGACACACGGCAGGCCCGCGTTGGTGACGGCGCTGCACCACTTGGTGCAACGCGTGTGCTTTGAGGAAGAGGTGCCTCCTGAGCTGAAAGAAGCCCTTGTACTTCCACTGTCCAAAGGCAAAGGTAGCAAGCAATGTGCCACGAATTATCGTGGCATCAACTTGCTGAGTTATGTGGGCAAGTTGATTTCCCGAATCGTGCACAACTGCCTCGTCAACCTGGTTGTGCAACCTAACGTTGCGGAAAAGCAATGTGGAGTTCATTCGGGTCGCGGCACTATAGATATGGTGTTTGCGGCTCGTCAGCTGCAGGAGGAGTGCAGAGAGCGACACCAGCCGCTGTACCCGCTGTTTGTTGATTTCCCCAAGGCATTTGATACGGTGAACCGCAAAGCATTGGGGTTGGTGTTGGGTAAATTTGGTTGTCCGAGGAAGTTTGTAAGTTTAATTTGTGTCTGCACAGTGATATGCGGGTGAGGGTGCTGCAGTGTGGATAGACCTCGGATGATTTTGCAGTTATCTCTGGTGTGATGCAAAGCTGTGTCTTAGCTCCTGCTCTGTTTAATATTTATCTTCATACCATGATGTCGTGTGCGTTTGATACGGTTTGTGCTTTCAGTGTTCGTGTGGAGCGCCTTATTGCTGGTGGGTTGCTGAACATCCCTCGTTTCGGTGCGAGATGTTTAGTCTGTCAGACAACTATCCGTATGTTGCTGTTTGCTGACGACTGTGCGTTGTTTGCACATAGCGCGGATGTGTTACAGCACATGACTAATGCTCTGACTTCTACAGCGACCAAATTCGGGCTCACCATCAACACAAGCAAAACTGTCTCTCTTTCAGTCTTCACCGCGGGTGCAATCTTCATTATTGCCACGAATCAGCATTGGTGTTGAATATTGGAAACCACCTCCCGCTTCTGCTACCATAGAAGTGTGATGTCAACGGATCTGCAGCTACACAGTGAGCTGCGTATTCGCGTGTCGAAAGCAGCGGCGGCATTCGGGAACCTTGAGTACCGAGTTTGGAACGGCTATCAGCTTACCATTGGCATGAAGCTGATGGTGTACCAATCCATGGTGCTGTCCGTCCTTCTATACGTCAGTGAAACGTGGACGATGTACCAGCGGGATGTATGATATCTCGAGGGGTTCCATCAACGGTGCTTGCGACGGATTCTGCTCATGGGATAGGGCGACAGAGTTGCTGACATGGAAGTGTTGCGTCGAAGTGGAATGTATGCAGTAGACTGCATACTTCTGTTGCGACACCTGAGGTGGCTCGGTCATGTGAGCCGTATCGATTCGACGAGGATACCGAAACAACTCTTATATGGTTAGCTGAGGATAGGGAAGCGGCATGCGGGGAAATCAAAATTACGTTACCAGGACACGATCAAAGCGAGCCTTTCACTTCCTAATCTTGATTGTAGATCATGGGAATCGAAGGCGGTTGATCGGCGTGCATGGTGCGACCTGACCACGAAAGCGGGAGGAAGACCTCATGCATAGAGAGAATTAGGGGCAAGTGCAGAAGCGGCAAGCACAGATGGGTTGTACTCCATCGACATCGAGTTCATGGTGCTATAGCATATGCGGTCGCGAGTGGCTGAGTCAGGCAGGCTTAGTGAGCCATGAGCGAGGCCACTCGGGAACACCACCGATGGGATGACGGGTCCTGCAGAGGGCGTAGGCAGAACCGGCGCAGCGTTTGTAGTTACGCTGCATTCGATTTACTAAGCGTGTGCTTGCATGCTAAGTCTATTTATTTCAGGTGGTGGGTTTGCAATTTTGTCCTAATGATTTTTCTTCTCATATAAATCTGCAACTGGACTATCTTCTATAAACTTGCACACGTCGCTGAAGCGGATTGTGGTTAATTGCGATAACATTTTCGCGTTTGTGACATTTCATTAACAAATATTTTCTGACTTATTTAACTTATCGCGGGTTCGTTCGTAATGAAATTTTTTAAACGCCCATTTATTGAAGAGTTATGCTGCCGTACCTGTATGCATTATCTCATTTATTTTAGTTCATCTCGTCGTTTCAAGTGATTGGCTGTTGCTTGATATCCCCGGTGTGGCTGCGCTTGATATGCATATTGACAAGGTGCCTACCCTCTATCACCTACTATCTCGTCCATACTGGCACCAGGAGACATTTAGTCGTTGCTGGAGGGGACGGGGTGCCCAGTGCTTGTGGCCGTGTGGGCTCGAAGAGCGGTTCCATGCTCTCAGTGTGGAACGGACAACGTTCCAGCCACTGTCTTGTGTGCGCTTGATTCCCAAATCGAAGGTGCTTGCATTTACTTGTGAAGGAGTGTGGACCGGCTCCGTTGATTAAATGTGACTCCCATCCACATGCCTCCCGATCTTATTGCTTCTGGTTTACACTGGGTATGGGGTGTGTGATTGGAGCTGTGTGTGTTGCAGCGAAACCACCCATGGTCCCTCTGCAGGCGCAGGCGTCCTGTGGCCGGTCACAGTGACAGGCAAACTCGAAACCGGATGCCGCCGACCACATATATATATATATATATGTCTCACTTAAAAGCGTTTAGCTGATGGTCAACTAAACTTCTCCGTGATTTCATAGCCGTTGCAGCTACTACATTTGCAGCAACCACGCTAGCTCTGAAAGAAAGTAAGAAGCAAACATTTGGCCCGCAATTTCAATGCCAATAAGCTCATGGTCTGGATGAAGGAATCACCCTGAGTTCCTTCTTGTCGCAGCAGGCTTGAATCGGCCGCCAATACCACCCTTGGTTGTACAATGCTCTGTTTTGGTTGCCTTCAAGATGGTGGCGACTACCCGACTCATTGTTGATCCTTCGACAGTGAATTATTTGCATGTTTTCTTTTTTAGATTGCATTAGCAAGTCCCCATCACCAAAGGGAATTCCCGAATTTTGGCTTACAGTTCTCAGGAACGCTCCGTTGCTCAGTGACACTATTCACGCTGGGGATGTTGACGTGTTGAAGTCACTGAGAGACATTCGATCAGTGACGATGGAATCTGGGGAAAGGCCGGTGAGTGAAAGCAAACAGTTCTGGTCAGCTGTCATACAATCGCATGATTCTGCTTCGCATTAATAGACGTATTAGTGTGTAGGTTGTAATTTTATGAATGTCTCCTTCCATGATAGCTTTTAAAAGCTATACGTGGAACGCAAAAGCAGAGTTCTGTCACCATCCAGATCGTAAAGACATGCATTCTGCAGGTCATGTTAATTTCCACTCACGCTAAGCTGTTTACTTGAGCACCAAGTTAACGCGGATCTTTCGATATTAATATGGCAGCTACGAAGGTTATCAAGGTAAGGTATGTGTATAGTACAAATTTCCCGCGTAGGATTCGTTGCGTAATAATTAATCCCCATACAGACTAAGCATTTGGATGGACGCAGGAGGCTTGAGTTGGTACTTTACGTGCCTAGCAGTGAGTGCCGGTTGACATATTTTATTAGAGACGTAATACACACTGAATTGACGGTAGGACCCAGTCAGGATCATCCACCTATGTAGAAGTAGCCCGGCTGCTGTATACAGAATTTTTTTATACACCTGGTTTTCATATGGGTACAAGTGTATTGGGCTGCTTTAGTTTTAACATTAGCACGTGGGTAATTGTATGTATAGGTAGCGGTTCAGGTATGTAGTGTAACTGAGCAGTCAGCGAAAACCCAGAAAGAAATCATCGCAGGCTAATAGTTTTGAACACGTGCGAGTTCCTCAATGAATCACATTAGTTAGACAGACTGTTAATACCATGGGACTGCCGACAAAATGCCCCACATGCTTCGCTATAATGTTTTATTCACTTTCAGGGCTTTCAACTCGAATTTGAATTTGCTCCAAATGACTACTTTACAAACAGCGTTCTTGGAAAGCGCTACTATTTGAGCTTCGATCTAAAGCAAGACAACCCCCTTTCCTTCGATGGACCAGAAGTCATCGCCTCGGAAGGGTGAGTTTTGTTTGATAATTGTAATTTGATCAAGCACGCATCTCGCCTACAATGTACCGAAAAAAGCTCACTGTTGCAGTTTGCATCCAAGTATTCACAAAATGTACACGAATACGCCTTAGGTTAGATAATATCAACAAGGTATCGCTGTGATCAGGATAATGGTATCTACAGTTTATTGCAGTAACAATTACGCAACACTTTAGTTGCCACATGAGAGATGTTCTCTGAGTAGTTATATGAGATTTGTCTCCTTGGGAAAACCACCATATCGACTAGAAAAGAAAGTTTCATGGTCATAAGTACAGTGAAAATTCAATACAGAGATATGACGTAAGTGTGGAACTGATCGCGCCGTTGACACGTAGGATTGCTTGCTTGGAGCTATTTGTTAAAACCGATAGATTATTCTTTCGAGCTACCTGGCGAAACATTATGGCCGGATGACAAAGTGGAACCAACCAAGCAAACACGTGACCAAAGTTCATGCAGCATAATTTATTGCTCACAACAATGTATCTGTTGTCTTGCAAGCTGGCTCAAAGCAAAGTTGAAGAATATATCTCAAACCACTTCAAAGAACGTTGGAAACGACGTGAATACTGCGGGGTTATTGAGGAGACTGCAATTGCGTCAAATGCAAATGATACGTAAGGTACATTAATGACGGACCTGAAAAAGGAAGACTTTTTATTTGAAGAAATGCGCTGTGATATGGAAACAAGGATTAGTTGTTCAGTTGGTGGTCTGCGTTTGCTGAGCTGGGCGGTTTGGGTGCAAACGTTTCGTCACCACTCAAGGTGATATTGTCAGTGCACGTTGCGAAACGTGAGTATGATTGATGAATCCTCCAAGTGGACGAGCCGTCAGTTTGAGTTCAGTTTGTTCGGCAGCTACACGATCATCAAAATCGACCCCTTTGGTACGTACCTCGTAGCGTTAGCACACCTACCTATGCGGCTGACCTCGCTGTTTGACGTGTTTGTCCCACGTTCTCTTCCGTTAAATTTAGTTGACGAATGTGATGATTTTGCATCCGTAGCGCTGCGTGTATAGCATATAGTTCGATGCTTTGGTTGGTGGAATTGCCTGTCGAATACCATGCTTCGGAGAATTCTCTACCTTGCGTTGAATTTTCACAGACTAGAATCTTTATGATTCCTAGGTCAACGTGGTGCCCTTCTTGATCTTCATGCATGAATACCAGCGGATGTTTGTCCTGTTTCTGTGTGACTAGTTTGTGTTCGTTAATCCATGTGAAAAAGTTTCTTCCAGTTTGTCCGATGTAGTGTTTGTCATATTCTCTGAAATTTATATTGTAGATGACATCATGCTGACTGCGTTATCTGCCTTTGTCTTTCGACGTTCGGGCTAAACAAACCAACTCATCATACAGAACTCAGGTGACAATTCAATTGGGTGACGAAATGGAAACCATTCTCTTGGTAGCCCCGCCATATGCTGTGCACAGTTTTGCTGATATCCCTTGGGGAGAGTGTCAGCAATAGAAGTACTACGCCGGGGACCACTGCATGAAAGTGACAAAAATTCGATCTTTGTCCATTTTGTTCTGAGAATGAGCATATCCAAAGAGTTACAAACAAGATCTCGCAACTTGGAGGAGTAGTACTGTATCCATCAAATCATCTCCCTCAACTATGTGGTTACTAAACTAACCTCAGGGTTATATTATCACTCGAAAATAAAAGAGGGAACCTAAGATTGGCAAAAGTTATGCATCAATCCAAACACCTCGTAGAAGCAGTGTTTTCTACCTTTGCACATGTTACACATTATGCTGCCCGAAGGCCATCGAGGACAGGCCACCATTGGTTAAGAAATCACATAAACAAAGAGAGTTGTTAATAGTGCCAACTGTTTGCGCTACCGAACTGCAACGCGCTACAGCCCTAGTAGAACTCGAAACAAAAGCTTGTAATCCACCACATGCCGGGAGTGGAGGGTTAGACAGACCTTGTTCTGTGCATCATCTTGAATCGGCCACCAGCTGTTGGTCAGAAATGTATTCAAAAAGCGATTGTCAGCTGCCATCAAGGGAGCCGACTAAGACTCGCCAAAAATGCCTATGCTTGCAAACGCCCTTCGGGCGCACGAAGTTTTCGCAGCAACTTAGTTGCGCTTCCATCGCGTCAAGCCTTATAGTTCTGCGATCTGATATTGATAACCAGGACATGACGCTGTGACGCTGTCACGGACGTCGAGGTTTCACTAGTTGGAATAGCCCCACTGTGCAAGCATGGACCTACTAAGGGAAGTGGTGTCATGCTTTACTATCGCTCTGACCTACATATGGACCGCTTTAAGGACACGGAATTCCGTGTTACCTACCGTAGTGCTGTCTTCATCCTAGGCGCGGAGATTTGTGTTTGGTGGCCATTGTGTACTGCTCACCAATGTCCAACTTGGAAATGGAGCATATTCTAACCTACTGCCTTGGTCTTACAGACAGATTATCCGATAGAATATTTCAACCTTCACACCCTAGAAGTCCCGTCCACGCTGTTGGAGCATCTCAAGGTATACCTGCGTGCTAGTCGCTGGTGCACTATTGCGCCCCCATGCTGCGTCTCCAACGTGAAACAGGATAGGGCAAAACCCCATCTTGGGACATGTTCATGTCCCAACTATGTTCATGTCCTGACTATGGCAATTTTCGGACCACATCGATCATGCTGTGTACTACTGCTCAACAGGGTTACCAGGAATATCTTAAAAAGCATGAAAGAATCACATTTTGCTACCGATTGTAATAATATGAGTGTTTAGTCCTTAAAATTAGCTGTTCCATCCCTGGCAACTGGTCTCCTGAAGTGCCTTGAGGGAGCGTGCCGACCAGCTCGACCGGATAGTGACAAGCGCGTCATGAGTCAAAACACCCCTCTCGAAAAATGGCTCCCGTCCAGGACTCAGAAATGAATGACATTTATGAACTCAGCTTGGCGAGCCAACATAACCTCTCTAAACAAGGATACCTGGGGTATCAGTGCAGAAAAATGGACCACTGCGTTAAACTTGTCAGTGAGAAGTGAGTAAAGTATCGACGGGACTCTGTGGTAAGAAATTGCTCTAACCCAGAGCCACTTTGCGGACATGTAAACAAACTCCGTTGGGCTTAGCGCGGAACTTTTCCTCTACATTCAATACGTGAGCTAGAGGAAAGGGCACAAGAGGAGGCCAACAATTCGCTCAAACCTTCCGGAGTCTGTGACGGAGTGATCCCAGCACTCTAACAACTAGACAAAGAACCAACAGAAAACAATGGAGAGCAGAGGATAGGGCAAGTCATCGCTTCAAAATCATTGTGGCATATTAGTTGAAGGGGAGCAACACGCTTCAGCTAATATGCGGCAGCAAGAGAGGAACATTTTGACGAAAAGTAGGACAAAACATTTTTAGTTTTTTTTTACGCGCCGATTTTTCTCGTTTTTGTCATTTTCAATGTTTGAAGTATCAAATACGTGAATCACTACAATACTGTACACAATTCTTCAACTGATTCCGGTCGCGGGCCATGTCTTCAAGTGTGTTAAGCCATTGATACTCCACATCCATGGGTCACCATCCTGGAAGAGGTACGGGTCCAACAGCGGCTAGACACGACGTCAGCGATTTCATGTGCTGCCGCCATGTAGAAGACTGACCAACACACGGTCGCCTCCAGCCAGGTCCTTGACGAGCGAATAGAGCGCGACGCGCTAGGCGCTCAGGTTTCATGAGTAGGACGTGACCAAGCCATCTCAATTGGCGCAATAAAACCAGTTTGTTGAAGGGAATACTCGCATTCCCCAAGATGCGACGTCGAACGTCCTTACTATTAACTCGATGTTGCCACCAAACACGAGTATACCATCATGTAAGGCTCTTTCTGTACAGATTATACAGACATCAGGCTTTGGCCATTAGAAGATATCAGTTTAAGTTAGCCACGCCCCACAGCCGATTAGGAAATCACCGAATATGCCTTTGTTTCCAAGTGTCACACCCACAGAATTTCCTCCCAGCAATTTATCTATGCCCGTCACCCTATCAAGAAAAAGCTCGACAACACATCTATACATTTACTTTACGTGACATGGACCGTTTCCATAGAATGTGGACAGTAGAATGAAAAGAAGGGTGTACTCATCGGGCCCCTGTAAACTCGAGGCGGGAATATTTAGATGTGAGTAACCACGAAAGTCCCAGTGGGTCCAGCAACACGAATTACCATCTCGTAGTTTCTACTCTAACTAACGTACCCAAAAAAGCAGAACAAAAAGTGTATCAAGGGGTGGGGCAGAACACTGTGTAGTGCAGCCGGCCACGAGGACCTCGGCCAATAAAACGAAAGCAGACAGCGTAGATGCTGATCCTCGTTCGTCTCACAAACTCCGCACACTGCGAAAACTGTGGTTACTCCAAGTAACGCTTCAGACAGTGAATGATGCAGTGGGAATTCTCTTCTTAGTAACTCGTCTCCACAGAAAGCCATGTAGAATTGGCATCTTCCCGGCTGTTCCTTGGAGTAAGCCTCAGCAACAGAAAATATCCCCATAACTTCCCTAAACTAAACCTCTTAAATAGATGCACGTCCACGGTGTCACAGAACTTCAGACTTCAAACTAGCTAGATGCCAAAGTACATGACTGGGATAAATGGCGCTTCAGCAGTGAAGTGTTCTCACTAAAAACATTATCGCCAATTTGAAATCAAGGTTACGGTAATCACCTAACAACAAACTGTGTGATCACCGAATGAAGAAAGTAACGCTGCAATCCCAACCGATGTCGGAAAATCGTTTCGAAGTGTGGCATAAAATACGCAAAATGTTGCCATCCGAAATACGTATAAAGGCGAAGGACGCCCGACCATAAATAGACAAGGTAAAGCTGAACATGCAGTTCTCATGTGCAACCCCATCACCGTGCAGTTCAGAACTTCGACACTGCAAAAATACCCCGCCAGATGGAGGAGGACAAGATGATCATCCACTTGCTAGG